CACACACACACACACACACACACATTGTATGGCCTGTTATGCAGATGTGAAGTGTCATTCTTTGGTCACACCGACCCATGGTCGCAGTGTGTCGAATAGGAAGTTTATGTTGAATGCTTTTTTTGTCGGTGCCTTACATAGCTGTTTAATACTCTCTCTCTCTCTCTCTCTCTCTCTCTCTCTCTCTCTCTCTCTCTCTCTCTCTCTTACAGGCACGGGTCGTATTCACACCAAACATCCGTGTTCGTGTGGTATCATGTGTGAGACGCACGAAAGAATTTATTGCTTATCTGGGCCCTTTCTGTGTTCCCACCAACTGTGCGTGTTCATGCGGTAGTGATAGTTTGTCGTTCGTGCGTGTGGTGTGTTTTATGGCAGCCATGAAATTTCATCCGTCTGCTCTCGTGTAGTGACCGACCGCTTACTCGCTCAGTCCAATAACCAAGAGGACCACAAGGCAAAGTGCAACTCTATGAACTGTGTTCTCAGTCCTCACTTCCATCGACAATCACCAATGGAAAATTGTGATAATGAACTTGTTATCGCCGCAGTCCAAAAAGCACAAGCGCTCTATGACAGAACACACAAATTGCACGCAAACAGACAGTTCCTTCATCAAGCATGGAAAGACATTGGACAAGAATTGAACATTGATGGTAAGCAAAATCTATTTCTACATATGATCGCTTTTAAAGACAAGCAGGCTAACCCAGATTCGGAGTTTTCCAGAAATCTTGACCTACACCAAAAGTGGGCATTGCCCTACCTACAATAGGAGACGTTTGGCTTCATTGGTGTGTATATATGTTTGGTTGTAGAGAAATCTCCCATTGTCTTTCAAAGAAATTGAACAAGGTACAAAAACGTTACTTTCGATTTCTCAGAACATCATTTTTCCGGGATAGCACCCTTGTGCTTAAAAGCGACCTTATATATTTATCCAAAAATGTTTTAAAAATACATCGTCCTTAATGTCCGAGCCCTTTCTCATCTGATTTTGCTATAGGAAAAGAAGGGAAAAAAAGGGTGATGGTTTTTTAGACGAGTCGGGCGCGATCGGCTTGTGCCACGATAGCCGGTTTGCGCTCTCAATCCGGCTAGCAAACCGCCTCGACCAGACCCGATCCCCTCCTAATGGCCTAATGGGCACCCCGTATTATGTGAAATGCTCCCTGTCATGCTCGGAACCGGGATCGGTCATCTGATGATTTTGTCAGGTGGTCTTGGGTTTGGAGGGTTGGGCTCATTTCGGAGAGTCAGCGCCAGCAGAAAGGAAGCCTGTGTGTGGTTCCTGTATTTTCACCAATTTTGTCGGGCACTGTGATGACCTTGACAATTTCTGTAGCAAGATTCACTCCTGCAGCTATTGGCTGAAGGAGTTTTAGTCTCATTTGTGCAATGTTGCCAAATGCCATTTCAACAACTCCCCAGGGGGCTCACGTGGCCCAGAGGTTAAGGTGTTCGCCTCTTATTCAATAGGTCCAGGGTTCGAATCCGGATAGTGACAGAAATTATTCTTCTCTAAATTGTCTCGTTTCCTCTCGTTTCCTGCTCTCAAGCAAAGTTCTGTCGCCCGCAACTCCTCTCTCACACCCCCC